CCATTCGAGTTCAAGATTTATAGTTTTACAGCTAACAAAATATTGAGACTTGATTGATTTTCTAATATTTCTACATTGCAAAGCTGTTAATTTTTTTCTATTATTTTCGGACTAAGGGTAGTTTTTTTTTTTTTTTTTTTTATTAAATCCTTTATTTAGCATAAAAATTGCTAGTTTACAATAGTACAAAATATATACAATATAAGTATATGAAAAGTAAGTAAAAAATAAAATGTAAAATAATAAATAATTCATAAAATAGGTAAACTAACAGAACAAAACTTAATAATCACAAACGATACACAATAATTTAAAAGTTATCACAAGATCAACCATCCAGTATATCACAATTACCTAGCATATAAATTTTTAGTTTTTTCTTGAAACTCAACAATGAAGTGCAGTTTTTTATCTCTTCTGGTAGGTTATTAAACTCGTTAAATCCTTTATGAAAAATTGAATTCATTGTACATTTTTTACTCTTTGGAGTTATGAAAAAATTATTTCTATTTCTGGTATTATAGTTATGCACTTCATTGTTGTAAACTATTTTGTTTATAAGGTATTCAGGAGCACGTCCAATCTTTATCTTAAAAATAAAAACCAAGGCATTATACCTTACAAATTCCACAACCGGTAGCCATTGCACTACTCTTAACATTGAGTTTATTGGTGTATACTTGCTACAGGAAAGAATCATACGCATAGCCCGGTTCTGCAATTTTTGTAGTCTAGCCACCTCATTCTGCTTGAATAAATACATGATTGTTGCACAGAAGTTGAAATGTGGCAAAACTAATGTATTATATACAACTAACTTTGACCAGAAAGAGAGAAAATAGGAACATCGACATAGATAGTTAACACTAAAACTTATTTTAGACACAATATAATTGCAATGTTCCCTAAATAAAAGTTTATCATCCACTATCACCCCCAAATATTTAAACTTTTGTACTCTTTGAATCTTATCAGATCCAACCATCAATGAAAGATCATTGTCATCACAATGGAGTTTGGTTTTGTCATTGGTTATTAACATGAATTTTGACTTATTCGCATTTAACTTTAAACGATATTTCACAGTATATTTATAAATTCTATTTAACGCCGCATTCATGTTTTGAACAAGGCTTGTCAAATTCCTAGAGGCTGCATAAACCAGTGTGTCATCAGCAAATAAGTGAACGTTAGCATTTCCTAAAATATCTGCCATGTCATTTATATATAAAATAAAAAGTAGTGGCCCCAGTACGCTACCCTGAGGTACACCATGATAATTTTCTAAATTTCCAGAAACTCTTCCATTCACTTTAACATTCTGTACTCGATTTGCCAAATAGTTCTTAAACCATTTTAGTACACATCCACCAACACCCACAGCTTCAAGTTTATTTAAGAGCATTTTGCGGTCTACCGTCTCAAAAGCCCTCTGGAGATCTAAAAACACTGCAATTACCATATAGTTACTATCAGCCCAATTCTTCCACTCATCCACAACACACTGAACCGCAGTTTCACAACTGTGGTTCGCTCTAAACCCTGATTGAAATTTAGTTATTAAGTTATTATGTTCAACAAAATCTAGCAACTGTATGTAAACAATTTTTTCAATTACCTTTTCTATTGTTGCAAGAGTATTTATAGGCCTGAAATTTGTAGCATCAAGAACATTTTCTTTTTTTTGGACGGGTATTATAGTGGACATCTTTAACCGATTTGGAAATTCGCCGGTATCAAAAGAACAATTTATTAAATTTATGAGTGGATCCTCAATGGCATCATAAATGTTTTTTAGCAGGTCGACACTAATTTCATCAGAGCTACTTTTAGATTCCAAGGAGAAAACAACCTTTCTTAAAGCTTCCGTATCGATCAATCTAAAGTTATCAAACCTATCCAATATAGTTGAAGAATAATTATTATTTATATAAGTGTCCGCAGTGTTGTTTATTTCACTAACAATTTGCTCTATGCTGTTTATATAAAATCTATTTAACCTATCAGGCAAGATATCCTTATCATTAACCACTTCACCGTTAATATGAACTTCAGAAATTTTCAAGGATTTTTTATTTTGCGGTAATATTTGACCTAATGCAGACCACATACTAGATGGGTCATTTTTGCATTGATCCACCTGATTTTCAAAATATTTGATTTTTTCCTGCCTAATAGTCCTAACTGCCATATTTCTATTCTCTTTGTAAATTGCGTGACTCGCCTCAGATTTAATAAGCTTGTGTTGTCTGTAACTCTCATCCCTAGCTCTTATTGCATCTTGAACTCGTTCATTCCACCACGGTTTAAAACGAGATTGTATTTTAATTGTTTTTAATGGAGCTACAATGTTAAACGCATTTTTTATCGTAAGGATAAGGTTATCACATTTTTTATCAATATCTGCTACATGAAAATCCCATGCAACCTGTGATAACTTATTTTTTATTAGCTCAAAATTAATCTTTTTTCCTCTGCTTTCTAAAATGATAGGTTCTGGTTTTGGAAAACTAAAAAGTTTTGTTTCTAGAGATATCATAAAATGATCACTAATTCTTGGGACTTGTAATACCTTAAAATTCACAGATATTTGATTAGTAAAAACCAAATCAATTATCGTGCCACCATTTATTGTGGGTCTAGTAACCTCATTTATAATCTGCAATAAACCCATATCATTTGCTAAGGCCCTAAATTTTTCACTATAAAAGTCAGTAGACAACCAATTAATGTTAAAATCACCAAAAATTAACAAAGGAATATTAACATCGCAGACGTAATCATTACACCACGTCTCAAAAAATGTCATGAATTCAGCACAGCTACTGTTAGGAGAACGATACAGGCATGCAACAAAAAATGTTCTTCCATGTATATTCAATTTAGTACTTAATAACCAATATGACCTACCCAATACTACTCTATTAATTTCCAATACCTTGATATACCTTTTGATATACATCTGCACGCCCCCTGTATGCCTACTTGAACTATCAGTCCTAAAGCACTCATATTCGTCGATACATATTTCAGAACTATCTATAATTTCCGTTAGATGTGTTTCGGAAATACAAATAATCTCAGGTTTCATGTTCAAAACTAAAAAATGAATCTGGTCAAAATTAGCATACGTGCTACCTGAATTTAAATATAAAAAATTACACATATTTCTGTTACCCTTAAAAACTAATCTATTTCTATTGTAGCTAGGTCGGGGTCTAAAAAATGACCCTGGTTTAATACAGGCTGGGACTTCTCTAATCTATTTAGATTAAAAATTATGTCAGAATGTGTGTCAGTTATAATACAGTCAGAAACATTATTCATGCCGCAACACTCTATACTACTTGACAGAGAGCTGTCAGCATCAGTATGATAAGTTTTAGCAGGTCTAAGTGTAGGATCAATAAGTACTATACCAATAGGTTTCAACAAATAGCTACATAAGATATACTGTTTTATAAGCCTACACATATTATTTTTGCTTAGTCTATACTTTCCCCCATATTTAACATTTTCAATAATTCTCACTGAGACATTGTTGTTTCTAATAAAAGAACTGCAGAACATATACAATCGCCTGTATAGGCCCTTAGCTTGTTGGTTCTGAAGTAATGAATCATAATTTAAACAAAGAATAAGATTAGTATATCGTCCAATTGATAAAATATTTTTCAGAGCACTCACCTTGAATTTAATTACATTTTTTATATTCAATGATACAATAACACAATCTTTATGACCATAACAAAGAGAAAAACCAAATGAGCTCCTACCAATTTCATTTATTGTGGCCATAGGCTTGATTACACCAGTGACTTGAAAAGAATCGTCCATCAATGATTTTATAGATACTGGCCAGTTCCTCGCAGATTCATCTCCACAAATGAAAACACGCTTCTGCTCATTAGGTAAAGATGTTCTAGGAGCACTCACCCTCTGGTCAATCCCATTTGTAGGATCCTGATCTGTACAGACCTTGGTGTCCCAATTTTCAAAATGTTCAATGCATCCTGAAGAATGAGTTGAAACATCCTCAACACTATTACCGTTCATATGGTTACACAGCTCACTTTTCAGATCTTCAATCTCCCGAGTATACATTTTATTCTCCGTACAAAGTACCTCAATGCTTGTTAGTAGTTCCAATTTCAATTTTTCAAGCTCCAATAAATCTGCTTTTAATTTTTCATTGGAAAGCTGTAAAAAAAGTAGTGTGGTATCACCATCGGTTTGAGATGATGTGCCTTGACCAAACATTTGAACTACAGCCTCAGTTTGTTTAAATTTTTGCAAAACACAAGTCTGAGTCTCAATATTCACGAAAGTTGCTTTATTTGCTTCTAGATTTTTATATTTTTTTAGCTGTTCATTAAGTTCTTCATTACTTTGTTTAAGTTTTTCAATTTCCTTGACATATTCTTCTTCACTTTTAAGGGCATCATTGTAAAATGCCTCAGAATTGCGTTTTAGACGTTTAATGTGCTTGTTTTTTTCCATTACTTCTACCTGCATTTCTTGTATTATTGATCTTAAGTCTTTAATAGTTTGATGATCGTCCTCATTTTCAACTTCATAACCCTTGTCAATGCATTCCTTGGAACACCATATAAGGTTCTCATTTATAACTTCAAATTTATTTGAGTTCCTTTCCCACACTCCGACGGCAGGTAAGGGGTTGTCCTTTGGAGGGAATATTTGAAATGGTTCTAGTTATCGTCCCAATCAAGTTTCAGAGCATTACAGTTTTCCGAAATGTGCTTTTCCAATTTTTTTCTATTATTTTCGTACTAAGGGTAGTTTTTAACACACTCCGACGGCAGGTAAGGGGTTGTCCTTTGGTGGGAATGTTTGAAATGGTTCTAGTTATCGTCCCATTCAAGTTTCAGAGCGTTACAGTTTCTCGAAATGTGTTTTTCCAATTTTTTTCTATTATTTTCGTACTAAGGGTAGTTTTAAACACACTCCGACGGCAGGTAAGGGGTTGTCCTTTGGTGGGAATGTTCGAAATGGTTCTAGTTATCGTCCCAATCAAGTTTCAGAGCGTTACAGTTTCTCGAAATGTGTTTTTCCAATTTTTTTCTATTATTTTCGTACTAAGGGTAGTTTTTAACACACTCTGACGGCAGGTAAAGGGTTGTCCTTTGGTGGGAATGTTCGAAATGGTTCTAGTTATCGTCCCAATCAAGTTTCAGAGCGTTACAGTTTCTCGAAATGTGTTTTTCCAATTTTTTTCTATTATTTTCGTACTAAGGGTAGTTTTTAACACACTCTGACGGCAGGTAAGGGGTTGTCCTTTGGTGGGAATGTTTGAAATGGTTCTAGTTAGCGTCCCATTCAAGTTTCAGAGCGTTACAGTTTCTCGAAATGTGTTTTTCCAATTTTTTTCTATTATTTTCGTACTAAGGGTGGTTTTTAATACACTCTGACGGCAGGTAAGGGGTTGTCCTTTGGTGGGAATGTTTGAAATAGTTCTAGTTATCGTCCCATTCAAGTTTCAGAGCGTTACAGTTTCTCGAAATGTGTTTTTCCAATTTTTTTCTATTATTTTCGTACTAAGGGTAGTTTTTAACACACTCTGACGGCAGGTAAGGGGTTGTCCTTTGGTTGGAATGTTCGAAATGGTTCTAGTTATCGTCCCATTCAAGTTTCAGAGCGTTACAGTTTCTCGAAATGTGTTTTTCCAATTTTTTTCTATTATTTTCGTACTAAGGGTAGTTTTTAACACACTCTGACGGCAGGTAAGGGGTTGTCCTTTGGTGGGAATGTTCGAAATGGTTCTAGTTATCGTCCCAATCAAGTTTCAGAGCGTTACAGTTTCTCGAAATGTGTTTTTCCAATTTTTTTCTATTATTTTCGTACTAAGGGTAGTTTTTAACACACTCTGACGGCAGGTAAAGGGTTGTCCTTTGGTGGGAATGTTCGAAATGGTTCTAGTTATCGTCCCAATCAAGTTTCAGAGCGTTACAGTTTCTCGAAATGTTTTTCCAATTTGTTTCTCTTATTTTCGTAGTAAGGGTAGTTTTTAACACACTCCGACGGCAGGTAAGGGGTTGTCCTTTGGTGGGAATGTTCGAAATGGTTCTAGTTATCGTCCCAATCAAGTTTCAAAGCGTTACAGTTTCTCGAAATGTGTTTTTCCAATTTGTTTCTATTATTTTCGTAGTAAGGTTAGTTTTTAACACACTCCGACGGCAGGTAAGGGGTTGTCCTTTGGTGGGAATGTTCGAAATGGTTCTAGTTATCGTCCCAATCAAGTTTCAGAGCGTTACAGTTTCTCGAAATGTGTTTTTCCAATATTTTTCTATTATTTTCGTACTAAGGGTAGTTTTTAACACACTCTGACGGCAGGTAAGGGGTTGTCCTTTGGTGGGAATGTTCGAAATGGTTCTAGTTATCGTCCCAATCAAGTTTCAAAGCGTTACAGTTTCTCGAAATGTGTTTTTCCAATTTGTTTCTATTATTTTCGTAGTAAGGGTAGTTTTTAACACACTCCGACGGCAGGTAAGGGGTTGTCCTTTGGTGGGAATGTTCGAAATGGTTCTAGTTATCGTCCCAATCAAGTTTCAGAGCGTTACAGTTTCTCGAAATGTGTTTTTCCAATTTGTTTCTATTATTTTCGTACTAAGGGTAGTTTTTAACACACTCCGACGGCAGGTAAGGGGTTGTCCTTTGGTGGGAATGTTCGAAATGGTTCTAGTTATCGTCCCAATCAAGTTTCAGAGCGTTACAGTTTCTCGAAATGTGTTTTTCCAATTTGTTTCTATTATTTTCGTACTAAGGGTAGTTTTTAACACACTCCGACGGCAGGTAAGGGGTTGTCCTTTGGTGGGAATGTTTGAAATAGTTCTAGTTATCGTCCCATTCAAGTTTCAGAGCGTTACAGTTTCTCGAAATGTGTTTTTCCAATTTGTTTCTATTATTTTCGTACTAAGGGTAGTTTTTAACACACTCCGACGGCAGGTAAGGGGTTGTCCTTTGGTGGGAATGTTCGAAATGGTTCTAGTTATCGTCCCAATCAAGTTTCAGAGCGTTACAGTTTCTCGAAATGTGTTTTTCCAATTTGTTTCTATTATTTTCGTACTAAGGGTAGTTTTTAACACACTCCGACGGCAGGTAAGGGGTTGTCCTTTGGTGGGAATGTTCGAAATGGTTCTAGTTATCGTCCCAATCAAGTTTCAGAGCGTTACAGTTTCTCGAAATGTGTTTTTCCAATTTGTTTCTATTATTTTCGTACTAAGGGTAGTTTTTAACACACTCCGACGGCAGGTAAGGGGTTGTCCTTTGGTGGGAATGTTCGAAATGGTTCTAGTTATCGTCCCAATCTAGTTTCAGAGCGTTACAGTTTCTCGAAATGTGTTTTTCCAATTTGTTTCTATTATTTTCGTACTAAGGGTAGGTTTTAACACACTCCGACGGCAGGTAAGGGGTTGTCCTTTGGTGGGAATGTTCGAAATGGTTCTAGTTATCGTCCCAATCAAGTTTCAGAGCGTTACAGTTTCTCGAAATGTGTTTTTCCAATTTGTTTCTATTATTTTCGTACTAAGGGTAGTTTTTAACACACTCCGACGGCAGGTAAGGGGTTGTCCTTTGGTGGGAATGTTTGAAATAGTTCTAGTTATCGTCCCATTCAAGTTTCAGAGCGTTACAGTTTCTCGAAATGTGTTTTTCCAATATTTTTCTATTATTTTCGTACTAAGGGTAGTTTTTAACACACTCTGACGGCAGGTAAGGGGTTGTCCTTTGGTGGGAATATTCGAAATGGTTCTAGTTATCGTCCCAATCAAGTTTCAGAGCGTTACAGTTTCTCGAAATGTGTTTTTCCAATTTGTTTCTCTTATTTTCGTAGTAAGGGTAGTTTTTAACACACTCCGACGGCAGGTAAGGGGTTGTCCTTTGGTGGGAATGTTCGAAATGGTTCTAGTTATCGTCCCAATCAAGTTTCAGAGCGTTACAGTTTCTCGAAATGTGTTTTTTCAATTTTTTTCTATTATTTTCGTACTAAGGGTAGTTTTTAACACACTCCGACGGCAGGTAAGGGGTTGTCCTTTGGTGGAAATGTTTGAAATGGTTCTAGTTATCGTCCCATTCAAGTTTCAGAGCGTTACAGTTTCTCGAAATGTGTTTTTCCAAATTTTTTCTATTATTTTCGTACTAAGGGTAGTTTTTAAGTAACTCCGACGGCAGGTAAGGGGTTGTCCTTTGGTGGGAATGTTCGAAATGGTTCTAGTTATCGTCCCAATCAAGTTTCAGAGCGTTACAGTTTCTCGAAATGTGTTTTTCCAATTTTTTTCTATTACTTTCGTACCAAGGGTAGTTTTTAACACACTCTGACGGCAGGTAAGGGGTTGTCCTTTGGTGGGAATGTTCGAAATGGTTCTAGTTATCGTCGCAATCAAGTTTCAGAGCGTTACAGTTTCTCGAAATGTGTTCTTCCAATTTTTTTCTATTATTTTCGTACTAAGGGTAGTTTTTAACACACTCTGACGGCAGGTAAGGGGTTGTCCTTTGGTGGGAATGTTTGAAATGGTTCTAGTTATCGTCCCATTCAAGTTTCAGAGCGTTACAGTTTCTCGAAATGTGTTTTTCTAATTTTTTTCTATTATTTTCGTACTAAGGGTAGTTTTTAACACACTCTGACGGCAGGTAAGGGGTTGTCCTTTGGTGGGAATGTTCGAAATGGTTCTGATGATCGTTTCACTGAGTTTGATGGTGTTACATTTTTCCGAAATGTGCTTTTCCAATTATTTTAATAATAAGGGTTGATCCCAGCCTGACGGCAATAAAGGGTTGTTCTTCGAACTAGACGTACTTGAGGGCTATGTTAAAGACTATTCTAAATTTCATGGTGTCACATTTTATTTTAAAAAAGTTGTTTTGTAGATATTAATGTTCTACTTGATGTTTTATTAGGGGTAGTTTTTTGTTTTGTTTTTCTGTTGTACTTTGCCCGAGGGTATATAATAATAATGTACACAAAGTTTGTAAATCAACCATTTAAAAAAAAAGAGCTGCCAAAAAATGGCTGCTAACTTCACAATTTTGGCTGCTACAAATGGCTGCTAACTTCACATTTTTGGCTGCTGCAAAAAGGCTGCTAACTTCACACCGGTCATCAGCCACAGGCCGGTGGTGCGAGGATTGCGACTTGGAGACTCCAATCAGTCAATGGGCTGGTTATCTTCGGAGTCTGCAGCACCGAGCCAACACCTGTGTGGAGCAGGAGGAAGACGTTAGTCTTGTCAAAACATCTTTCAAGAACCGAATTGCTACATACCTGCTTTCATCGAAACAGGATCCTACCAGCGTGAAGCACTTTCTAGAACATCTTCAACAGAAATTCGTCCAGCTGGTAGGAGATATGGTCAATAAATTTGGCCATATCAAAGTCGTAGTGGAACTTTTCGGTCGCTTCCTCCACCAGGCGAAGGATTTGGAGCAGATCAAGTCCCTCAACACAAAATTCCGCCTGGTGGGCGAGGGGGCAGATGTGGAGGAGTTGTTCAGCCAATTTTCAGCCATCATGGACAAAAAGTCCACAGAGTTCCAGGAGAAAGAAAGTGGTATGTATTATTTCAATTGCAGTGTTATATACTAAACAATATCTCTTACAGGCTGGGCGCTGCAGCAACTCCTCCACCTAGACATAAGTATAAATAAGGTCAACCCTCTAAAAGCGTCCTCATATCTGCCGCTACCAAAAGAAATTGAAACCAAGAAAGCTGTCCTGAACATCCAGAACTTTTATTATTATGTATTCTTTTTTCTACTTATTTAAACTTAGATTTAGATTGTTTATATAATTTTTTACATTTTAGTTTTAGATTTTATTTGTATTATCTGTTTTTTATCTATACCTTATATGACCAATTTTTAATTTTTTATATGCATATACTATTTACGTTTATTTATGAATTGTTTTTTCTTTTTCAAATAAAAAAAAACACAAGTGATTTTTGAGGTGATTGTTTTATTTCAGAAAAATGTTATACAACGCATATTTATGTTCTAAAATTGAATCAAGATCATTTTCATTCCAATAAATTTTTCCCATTGTTCGCATATCAACCATAGGGAGACCTCTACTTTCTTCCTCTTTCCAATAGCTAACGTAAATGAATTCGCCAATGTAGAAATTTGTATCTTTCCAACCATCGTTTATAGTATCAAAAAAATTCAAAAAAATCTTCAAATTCATCATAGGTAAATCTTATTGAAGCGCTATCTTTGTGGTGTAAGACGATCTCTTCAGGATTGTAATTGATTCGCACAAAGCCCCCAATATCATAGTCTTGATATAGATTAATTTCCCGACTAGTTGTTGATTCATTTGCAAATACGATATCACATTTCGAATCCATTTTCAAATTTTCAAAATTATTGAACAGTAACTGTTTTTCTTGGTAAATGTCAAAATCTTTTTTTCAATTTCGAGAGATTTACTAAATAATGTTGAATTCTTTCGGTTAGTTTGCAGCTCATACCCTAGAGAAAGACTAAACTTATTCGACTAAGGGGTCTGTATTTATAGAAAAGAACTTAATTATTTAAAAAAGTTTATTAGGTACTTACACAATATAATTATACAATAAATTCTTAATACTACATGGACTTAAAATAATTTCATGATATTAACAAGCTATTATCCAGCCTGGATCCTACACTGTCCAAAAAATTCTAAATTCGCTCTAGTTAGATAAATTAGGTTTAGTTTAGTATACAATCTAATAATAAAATCTTTTAAATATGTCCTTTAACGTAAACAGAACCTTGAGCATCCAAAACCGCAAACGTTCTACTTTTCTGTTGAATGTTTCATAGTGTCGAATGTTTCATAGTGTCTGCTTAGATCAATGTTCGAACATTACCGGATAAAGGTAAGTATTCAAAAACTCGATCATGTACGATAATACAACAGGCTCGTGTATCTTCCGAAAAATTCTCTGAGCTTTGGAACTCTAATTTGACATCAGTCGTGTTGCTTTTGAGGGATTCGTTCTGTTTTGAGCAGTCTATAACAAATAATGCCCTGTTGGCAAAATTGGGAAGGTCCAGCAATGGTTCACTATTGGTTTTACCCAAATACGTGTTTTGAAATTCGGTATACATCCGGTATGCTTCTGCAAACTGTTTGTCATCGAAATTAAGATTCAGTGATTCATACGGATAAACTTCAGAGTTTAGATACAGCTTGACATCTGTTATATCCAAATTATCGAAAAGAGTAATATCATACCGAGGATTATCTTTTCGTTTTTTCTGGAAAAAGACTATGACATATCTAGCTCTCTCAGACATGGATTTCACAGTCCACACGTCTCGCTTGGATTTTCTCAATGTAGGTAACTCATGAATCTCCCAACTTCTGAATGGAATAAATATGGGTTTGTTGTTCGAAATATCTTCCAATAATTTCAATTTTAAAACATCGTTTGGATAAATGTGCCTCACCCTCAATTCTACTGTGTCTAAAGTAATTTTTGCTGTTTTATCTCCAGTCGTATTGATGTAACAGTTATCATCATTTCTAGCTCTGACAAGTTCTATTTTCTGTCTTCCCATAATAGCCTTATTGTAATCGGAAAAGATATTCAGTAAAACTTTCAAGGGTATTAGAAAATTGAATTTATCCCCCGCTAAAGATTTTACTGTTCCACTAGGCCAATTCCATCCAGCTCGTTCGAGTGCTCTACTTTCTTGATCATTGAGGCATAGCAGGTTTCTCACTGTGCTGGTAAGCCCCGGATCTTGAATTTTATCAATTTCCTTGCCATTTAATTCATAAGCGATGGATTCAAAAAGGAATGCGCCTGCATTAATTGTTAGATTATATTTTCCTGTCTTTCCAGCGGTAACGTCTTCATTAAACTTTCCTTCAATGTAGACTTCGGCTTGGCTGATATCTATAAATGCATCTTGTTGATTGATAACAAGTTCTATTTCATCACTATAGTTGAAGGCATTAGTGAAGGGGTGGTAAGTATGCCATTCCTCTCTCGCTACAGACACTGTTTAAATAGTCACCAGTTTTATTAAAAACCAGGACCATATTTCTTAAGCTCTAATCTCACTATGATCTCCTCTCCTCGGAAATTAACTGGCCGTCCTTCTTGATCAAGTATATTAATTGTTATATTATCTATACTGTCCCTATTGATAGGTAGATATATCAAGTTTCGAGGATCTATTATAATTCGGTATCCAGGATCCACAGCTGGAGTAAATTCGTATAACGTATGTGAAGGATTACTATTGAAGTAGGAACCAGAGATGATGTTGCACTCTATCCGTATACTAGCCACCGATATTATCTCAACTGGCAGATCGGATTTGTGTAGATAATTCTTTTCCAGAGATTTTTCTGAAAATCCCAAAAGTTTTCCTATACTATCCTCAGGCTTGAAATTAATATCATATATAGCCTTTAGTTCACACTTCAATGTATTGTTGTTTGGTTTAAGAGAAATATTTTCTGTTGTAGTCGTACTTAATTGTTTTTGTAGATAGGCTTCAATATCGGTAACCTCGTACGACCCGGTTGGGATTTCTATTATTTGTTGTTTTCCTGTAACGCTATAGTAGAACTTGTTTCGACCTGGTTCAATGTTGGGAATGGAATTCCACGTACTGAGTGAAATGAGAGCTAATGAATAGTTATAACTAGAATCAAGCTTGATGGGTGGTGTAATATCAACACTCAAGCGACTTGTTCGACCTTTCAACGTGAATGTCTGAGACATGACTGAAATAAAATCAAAACACAATTACTTTATATAGATTTATTAAACAAAAAACCAAGTACAAGATGTCCACAATTGTAGGAGTTATATGACTGATACTGATCATAGTTGAAAAGTATCTTACAATTTTTAAAATAACGAACGAGTTCTTTTGGTGGATTTAGGTTCCCAAAACTATCAAAGTAAACAACCGTGTTTTCCTTTTTCTTATAAGCTACCCAATGTGATCCCGATCCCATATACGTATCCAAATTAAGAACCCCGCATTCGGTTTTCTTTGAAGACGATGGTAAGGTATCTCGCATAAACACGCCTCTAAAATTGAAAATTTTAAGTTTTTTAACGTATCTCTTGATATCTTGATCACTTAGTGGACGATCGGGTAGCTTTATTGGAAGTTTTTTGACATCTTTTTCAGGTAAAGTCCATATCCGCTCTTGTGTTTACTAAGATATAATCCACTCCCTTTTTTTCCTAACGCAATAGCTTCCATCATTTCGTTGTGTCGTTTGGACTCGACAAGTTTATCTTTCGCAGAACGAGCGTCATTCACTGCTTTTGCCACCCCTGCCGCGCCCCCACCTAAAGCGCCCAGCGCGCTAAGTCCGGCAAACAGAGGTATAAGAGGAATAATTCCACCTACTTTTGGTACTGGGATAACTCGTGGAACTCGAATCTTTTTGGGTCCACCAGCTTCTTTGATTGTCTTACGAGCTGCTTGAAGCACCGATTTAATAAAGTCTTTTATTCCTCTACCACGATGCTTTACTTGCTTTCTAATATTAGCCACAACATAGGATTTGAATGGTTTCAAACTTTTCGATCGAGCCATGCTGAGTTTACGTTTAGTTTTCTTCTAACCGAAATTGCGAAATCCTATCCTTTCACCCGTTCCCACGATCTATTTTTTAGTACTTTATCTGGCTGATGTCTGTGTTGTAGATCCGTGAATTTCAAAAGAAAGCTTGTTGATGTAGCTATTTAAAGGACCTACACTCGATGGTGTATTCATTAAGAATGAAACAG